AAAGAGGCCAACTGCCTCAACCAAGGTCATATGCTGGCTGGTGGGCTTCCTGAATCCAAATCTAGAGTCTTTCCACAATACCATCCTGCTTTCAGACTGAGCACAACACCAACTCCTTACAAGATATATATCCATGGTTGATAATCCAGTTCATTTTGAACATCCTGGACGTTGTCGTGTTACTATAATCACTGTACAATGTCAGGAGACTGCTGCTCCTTATACTCAGACATAGATGAAAACTAGATCAAATGATCAAAGTGAAAATGATCCTTCTCTGAGAGATGGTATATTGGTAAGAGCTTGGGCTCTGTCCTAAATTAGAATAAGTGGAAAAGCCAGTGTGTAAATCTGCACCTGTCTGTATACCTTTTGGCAACTTGCTAGAGTTTCTAACCTTCCTTTTTTTCACATCATGGCACACACAAAATGATGGCAAATTGGGATAAACAGATGAAGCAGGACCCGTGTACCTGTGAGCAATTCACGGCATGCCTGCTGGGAAGGACAGGTGTGAAGCTCTAGAATGGTGCCTGGCACAGGGTTAGAGCTTTATGAAGCGTTTATAATTACCGGACAGTTGCTATACCTATGATGCATTCTTTCAGGGTTAGTTTTGTTCCTTTTGGGTATCTATAAGCTGCACGTGTGGCTCTTTAAATTTAAATTGATTAAAATTAAATACAATTTAAAGTTCAGTTCCTCAGTGGTACTAGTCAGACTTTACAGGCTCAATAGCCATATGTGGCAAGTGACTATTGTACTGTTCAGGTCAGATACAGAACATTTCTATCCATATCGAAAGTTCCATTCAACAGCACTGATCTATAGTAATATTGCTCTGACAACTATAGGCGTTCCTGAAATCCCCAGAAGAGTGTTAGATTCCCTGAAGGCAGGCCCTATAATCACTGAATTTGTGATCAGTAGAACTCTGCCCAGTGCCTTGCATGGGGTAGGGACCCTGCCATCGATCGTGGAACTGACCCAACCTTGGTTCAGATCACTATCTTGCTTGCTGTGCTGCCACCCAGGGTAAAAGACCTGACATCTGAATAAAAGAATCCCAAAGAGGGACACCCAAAAAGGAAACCAGGAGGCCCACTCCAAATGTAGAAATAAGTAGCTGAAAGTGTTCAGTAAAGATTACCCATTCCTGCACATACCCCAAAACTACAAAATCAATAGCTGAGAAAATGCCAATTATCCAGGCCCATTTGAAATATTATTAATCTGCATCATGAACAGCCGCTAATCAACATAACAAATTGTGAAATCACTATTTATTTACTTGCCAGGAGGAAGCATTCCCCATCACGTAATCAGATAGGAACAGCTCAATTTAGGGAGAGAATAGAACAAATGTAGATTTTTAAAAAATATATAAAATACTAAGAATCCAGAAGAAAGCTCAGAGGAGGTTGCTGGCACCTATATCGATTCCAAGATCAAACTGGCCCAAGTACCTTAATAAAGCCTGTCATTACACACTCAGATACTATAGACAAAATTACGCTTCAGGTCAAAAGAGGATCATCTGCAGGAGTAGGGAAAGAATTTTCCCTTCTCTCTTTACTACTGTGCAGCTGGCAAGGTGCACCTCTGAGTTATTCATTCAATCACTCATTCATCCATTTTCTGTGTGTCTTTTGCAAGTAAAGATTAAGTAGGTCTGTTGCTTGAATGAATGCATGAGAAACAGGAACCTTATTAAGGACATTCATTTTTTATGGTGCTTATTTTACGTCTTTTAGTAGTCTCCTGACTGCCTAGCATGTCCACTAGTGCTGTGAAGACACACTCCCACTGAATCAGAAACACTCGGAATAAGATTTAATTGAACTGCTCTCAACAAAGCCTGCCCTAAACTGGTTGGAAGGATTAGAGAAGCACATGTTGAGTGGCTATCATAGGGCAGCACATACAGTAGGGGCTTTGCAAATGGTGGCTCCTGTTTATTATTTCTGTAGTGCCTTAGCACACAAAATGCAGAAAACATATGCGCCAAACATCATTCGCACGATCCCACTAAATCCTTGTATGTTGCGCCTCCCTCAGCTCAAAATTCCCAGGAGCCACATGCTGCTTTGCAACAGAGGACCCAAAGAGAAACTGCCACCAGTTTTCCTCATCTTATATATCACTAAACCATTAAACAAACAAACAACTTACATAGAGCTTACAACACGCCAAGCACTGTTCTGAGCTTCCCGTAGTCAAATAATCCTCACAGCAATCCTAAAGAAATAGGTACCATTTTTAATCTTCATCTCATCTGAGGAAACTGAGGCACAGAAAGGTCAAGGTACCTTGAGTGGGGTCACACAGCTAATGAGTGGCAGAGTCAGGATTAGAAATCAAGCACCCAAATCGTGACAACAAAGGACAGATGGCCCAGAAGGTCACCCAGTTGTCAAACTGTGTTTGTGAAATCCTTTTCCCCAGCTCACCTGGTGATCTGTTTAACTGCCATCTGAGCCATTTGTTTCGCTCTCATTCAACGTTGAGGCAAAACCAGGATCATGGTCAAGGCAAAGCCCCACAGGAGGATATGTCCCCCACTACATTTAGGGCCTTCCTTTGAGCACAGATGGTCATCCTCTATTCCTCGGTCCTACCTTACACATCCTCCTAGGGTGTTTGGCCGTAACCCCCAATGTTTTCTGGAGTTCAGGCTTCTGGACACCATACAGGCCAATCTGAAGGGGAACGCTAAGCACGGTGGACAGTAGAGTCCACCTGGTGTGCCGTCCATTCATTCGGCTGCAGTATGGCCCTGTCTGTGTCTCCCAGGAAACACTGAACAGTAGTGCATCGCCCGCCCTGCGTATCCCTCCCGATATTTGGGAACTATTGTACTACCTCTCTAATTTCTCTTTTCTAGGCTGAATGACCCATTTCTTCAGCTTCTTCTCAAAGGCAATATTTCTCAGCCCTTCAGTCATTTTCACTGCTCTCTTCTGGCCTCTCTCCAAGATTCTGTATCTTGTTTAAATAGTGAAGGCCAACATTGAATATGATTTAAGAACAGTCATGCCTGGAAAAGTAACAAAGGCCCAGTGAATATGGGCTCTAGAAAGTAAATATTTTCTCAAAAACAAAAGTATTGTAATATTTATCATGGTAGTAAGAATTAGGTTGATCAAATAAAATCATTTTTGTTGCCTGTCACATCATTTCCTCTTATTATTTTCTAAAAGACTTAACCGTCCCCTAGGTCTTCTCTGAAGTGACTTTGCTCCTCCTCAGAAACCCTAAGCTTTTTTAGTCTCAGCTCTGCTTCCCTTCAATATAGAAATCTTATCATCTTGAGAAATGGGGGCTGGGCGTGGTGGCGCAAGCCTGTAATCCCAGCACTTTGGGAGGCCGAGACGGGCGGATCACGAGGTCAGGAGATCGAGACCATCCTGGCTAACTAACACGTTGAAACCCCGTCTCTACTAAAAAATACAAAAAACTAGCCGGGCGAGGTGGCGGCGCCTGTAGTCCCAGCTACTCAGGAGGCTGAGGCAGGAGAATGGCGTGAACCCGGGGGGCGGAGCTTGCAGTGAGCCGAGATCGCGCCACTGCACTCCAGCCTGGGCGAGAGAGCGAGACTCCGTCTCCAAAAAAAAAAAAAAAAAAAAAAAAAAAAAAAAAAAAAAAAGAGAAATGGCCGTTCTCCTTCTCTCAACACCAGTTTTTCCAGAAATAGCACTTTCTGTCTTGGCTTCTTCAATGTCTTCTGCTTTGGGTAAGATGTCCCCCTTCCTGGCTGCACTGCTTGTCTCCCCTCTGGGTGGTTTTCAGCATGTGAGTGCTCACCCTGGGGGAGGGGGAGGACAGGAAGAATATCCAGGGCAGGCACCACCTGTGCAGGGCCCTGCCCAGGCCCCCAAATGCAGGACAAAGATCACCCTTCACTGCTGACTCCCTTAGAATTTTTTTTTTTTTTTTTTTTTTTTTTTTTTTTTGATCACCCAGGCTGGAGTGCTATGGCATGATCTTAGCTCACTGTAGCCTTGACCTCCCTGGCTCAAGCACTCCTCCCACCTCAGGCCCCCAGGCAGCTGGTACTACAAGCGTGCAACACAATGTCTGGCTAATGTTTTGTAGACACAGTGTCTCACCATGTTGTGCAGGCTGGTCTCGAACTTCTGAGCTTAAGCAATCTGCCGACCTCAGCCTCCCAAAGGGCTGAGATTACAGGCGTGAGCCATTACGCTCAGCTGAGAATCCTTCCCCACCCCCCCACCCGAGATAGAGTCTCACTCTGTCACCCAGGGTGGAGTGGCAGTGGCTGGCATGATCAGGGCTCGCTGCAGCCGCAACCTCCAGTTGAGGGTTCAAGTGGTTCTCCCACCTCAGCCCCCCGAGTAACTGGGACTACAGGTATGTGCCACCACACCCAGCAAATTTTTTTTTTTTCTTTTTTTTTAATTTTAGTAGAGACAGGGACGCGCTATGTTGCCCAGGCAGGTCTTGAATTCCTGACCTCAAGTGATCCTACCACCTCAGCCTCCCAAAGTATTGAGATTCCAGGCATGAGCCCCTGTGCCTGACCCTTAGAGAATCTTGAGGCTAAGAATCAGGGGTGACCCTGATCAAGTTCCACATGACAGATCCCTCCACTGGCCTTGGGAGCAGGTGGGACCAGCGACTGGACCTTCAATAGAGGAAGAATGACATCAAGGGCATTTTGGTGAAGAGCCACCAAAGAGAGGTGACCAAAACTGAGATGCTCTTGCACAGAGCTTGGCACTTACCTGGATACTCAATAAACAAGTTGGCTTTGGTGCCACTTAAAAAGCTTAACCATTAAAACATATAGTATAATATAGTATAATAAAGGAGAATAAAGGTGACTGCTCAAAAAAGCAAAATGAAATCCCCCTCCCACATGACCAAAGCCAACAGAGTTTTTCTGGGTAGACTAAGGATGTGTCTGCTCCCTGACTTGTTAGCTCCATTCTTCCAGGGAAGGAAAGATTAGAAGGTTCGAGGGCAGCCACGCACACTACCTGCCCACTTGCCCTGGTCTTTCTCGCCTCCACCCTCTTGCTCCTTAGCAAGCTCCTCTGGATCAGCAGCTGTTTCATTGGGTCCTTCAACATCTTCAATGGCTTCTTCTGAAACAGAAGAAAAACATGTCAAGGGTTAAAAATAAAAAGAAGATGAAGGACTTTTGGCCCCTATTGCAAAGAACTGCCAACCACAAAACAGACACCAATGACTCGTCCCCCTTCTCTTTCCAGAGGCCCCTGAGAGGCTGACTGTACTAAGGATATACCAAAGTCTGGGTAAGCAGTGGGGACTTTCCTTCTGGGTAAACAGCTGGTATGAGGTTGTGACTTGCCCCAGACATGTGGCCATTAGGTATTTCCAGACAGATTCTGAATGCTTCACTTGACTAGTTCTAACTAAAAAACCAATCCTGGCTGAAGCAGCAGCTCCACCTGAATCCCTGAAGTTGCATGCAAGTGTTTTACACTTGAAAATGCAACACGTGGCCACCTGTTCACTTCATGCCTAGTTCCATTCCCAGAGCCTCCCAATGCCGGTCTAGGCATTGGCCTAGACCACCCCCCAGTCACTGATCCCTCACAGCGCTCACAGTGCCTATGCATGTGCCAGAGGGTGTGGGAGTTGTTGGAAGTCATTCAGGTTGTGAAGAGTCATAGAGTATCAGTGATATGAGTTCATCAGTTTGAAGAGTTCCAAAAACCAAATGGCATCTTGTGAGCATGCCAGGAGGCAGTGGTGGGAAGTGAGATTTGTAGAGTAAAGGATAAAAATTTGTAACAGAGTCACACACTTTCTTTTTGAAGCAATTCCATCCTTCACTCACTACGGGTTTAAAACTAATGCAGGAAATGTCTCTCCAGTTCAGTACACAGTGCTACAGTGAAGGCAGAATGATGGCTGCCAACGCTAGGTTGCTTATGAAGTGAAATGTCATTCGGCCAAGTGGGGAAGAAGAGAATTAGATACTCTAGATACTGAGGGAAAGAAGGGGAGACACTTCTCTCTTGCTTTCCTGGTCCTCTGAGTCACATTATCCAGAGCATGCATTCAGTAAGAATGGGCTAAGGGAATGAATCAAGTGGACAAACCAAGGTGAAATAATTTTAATACAGACGAAATTATTAGGAGGCTATGAAGAGGACATTTTCTCAGGTGCGCAGGCATGAGGGCAAGGATGCCCACATCTGTCAGTAGACCAGACCCCAGCAAGGAAGTACTGGGTCTGGCTTAAGAACACTGGATCAGGCCTCTGTTGAGCACCGCCAGAGGTCTCTCCAAACCCAATTCTACTTTTCAGTATTTTAAAGTATCATGCCTTCTGACCCTCTAGAAAACAGCCTCTACCCTGACACTACTTTTCAGTTTTTCAAAGTGTCATGCCTTCTGACTGTCTAGAAAACAGCCTCTAAATGTATCTCACAAAGAAAGTAATAGGAGTACAAAGTAAATTGGTCTTAAAGAGTTTCAAAAACACTGAGGAAGAAGGTGTCTATTTAGAATCACATTGTCTTGACTCAAGAGATGACAGAGGTCCAAGGTCTGGAAAACTGAACTAGTGTCACAAATGTTCTTTCTTCCTTACCACCAAGAGGGAGCTTATGAGGCAGTCACTGGGAACACAGGTGAAATATGGTACTGCTTATTTTCATCTCCAACTCATATTCCACATATAATTTTTATGTCTCCTTCTTTGTCTCACTGCACAATAAAGTCAACATCAAGTTTCCCTACCCTACCCTTAGTTCAAACAGAGAAGAATTAGGCAACCACAGCTTGAAGTCAATCAGTTACAGAGCCCCACATTTCGACACCATACATCATTTAGCAGAGAAAACATGTATAGGTGTCAGTAGAGTAATAACAAATTACACAGCATGACACAGGAACTATCTTCATTATGTCCAAGTGGGATGTTCCGAGCACATTTTTAGGCTTTCAATAAAATTGTTCAACACTATAATAAAATTCATCTTTGAATGGTGATACCAGCATTCGGTCAATGAATATTATTACATTAGGTCTACCCAGATGAGCTAGGTCCCTTAAAGGATCCTTATTTGTCCTAATACATGCTGTGACACAAAATATCTGTACTGTTGATACATTTATGCCTAGTGTTCCATTATTGGAACACTAAGCTTGTGGGAGTTATTTATATCCTACTGCTGAAGGTCATCGCCAGGGTCTGATTTTTCACGCAAAAAAATTTTTCAATCTCTGGCATAAATGGGTTAACCAAAATTGATTAGGCAAAGAGATGGCTCAGTGGCCTCTCATCTCTAGTGCATACATATGATCACCTTAGATGGGGAGAGTCTGACACCTACAAACTACAGAACACCCTGAGATGGTGATGAGCAGTGTCTGAAGGTGCTGCTCAGCAGACATGGGAAGGGATGTACCCACTGGGGGACCATCTCCAAGCCAGCACATTATACAGCCTGCAGCTATCACAGCAGAGCATTAAAAACTCACGGTCACCCGACACTGACCCCAATTCTTTGAGCCTTACCAAACAAATCTGTTGAGAAGCTAGAGACTGTAATGTATAAGCAGATCATTGATGCATCAAGCATGGAAACTGCATGTTGCTTTGTGAATATTCCTGGAGTTCTCATTCTGTGAGCCCACTTGGGCCTTTGCTTTCTCTCCTCCCTGCCCTACTGCAAGCAGAAAATGAAGGCAGCTGAGTTCCGATGAGAGGATCAACGAAAGAGGTTATTTCAAGAACTTATTTTGCTTATCTCTCTTTTTTTTTTTAAAGATTTACAAATCAAGTCCTCTTCTTGAGTTCCTAGGTTTAATATTATCATTTGTGATTCATTCACTAAAAGACTGCTCTATGCGTGGTGGAAGAAGAAATGATTAGGAAAATCCTGGATAAGCCAGCTCCCTTTCAAGGGGATCAGTGTAGTGTCCTCAGCCCCCCACCCCCACCTAAAAACCAGGTCCCATTCAGCCCAGCCAGCTCATCTCTGCAGTTCCAGCTGTGACCTACAGGTGTCGCCCTCCGCATGGCGAGGCCCGGAAGGGCTGCTGGCTGCAGGAGGCAGACGAGTCTGGGACGCCTAACCTGAGCATGTGGAAATAATGTATGTCTTCAAGTGAACTGTCTGGTCCTGTAGATATAAAATAGGACGTTCATAAGCAGTTACACCATCTGTCTTTATACCATCATCATCAACAGCAAGAGGAAAAATAGCTCTTTAAAATGGATGAAAGCCCAGGCTGACAGTAACCGGAAAACTGTGAGCTCTGAATACCAATAAAGGTAGAGAAATGATTAAAAAACAGAGACGCAAACTGAAAATTCCTCTGGACAGCTCTGGCCCACGATGCTTTGCAGGCAGGGTGTGTTTTATTGGTTCCGAAAGCATAAAGCAAGCTGCTTACCAAGAGCCAGGCCTGGGGAAGGGCTTGGTCTCCCCGACCTGGAAACACATGGGAACCAGGGGCGAAATGGCATCCCACTTTGAAACAGAAGTCTGCGTCCACACGCTAAGCTCCTAGGGCTGTTATCTAGGAGCCCTTGTTCTCTTTAGGAATGTAGATTTGATACACACATGCTGGAGAATGGAGGGGAGGTTTTTTGTTTCTTGCTATTTTTCCCCACGGATCACGGATTGCATTCCCCCCTCTTCTGCGAAGTCAGTGGCAATTGGCTGGGTCATTATTACAGAGGCTGCAGATTTTTTTCCCCTATAATATCAGCTACTGACAGATGATAGGAACAAGTGAAGACTAGATGGACTGATGATCAGTTTTATCTGGAAAATCTTGTCCTTCCTACAGAAAAAGAGACCAAGACATGTAACAGCCACTGTGCCATTTTTAAGGCTGAAACAGACAAATCAAAACCATCTTCTCCTTCAAGCATTTATCGGTATTTCTGATCCCAACCAGAGCACACCAGGAATGCTTTCCCAAGGGCATAGCCAGGACCTGGGAGAAGAGGTCATCCCCACTCCCCTAGTCCCACCCTGGTTCTGGGCAGGAGGTAGCAGGCCCAATGCCTCCCAGACAGCTCTGTGTTTTAGAAGACACCAGAAAAGGTGCCTTTAAAACCCCTGTGGAAGCCCACAGTAGCCTCAAACTGGAGCACCCCCTCCTGTATGTGTTTTCATATTAAAGAGTTAGGGAAATAAAAGCAAATATTGGAAAACTGCAACGTCTTCCTAGGGTCCCTTCTGCCTTTCATTTCCATCTTCAACGGTGACTGAAGGCCTTTAAAAATCTCTTTTCTGGCTGGGCATGGTGGCTCATGCCTGTAATCCCAGCACTTTGGGAGGCCGAGGTGGGCAGATTGCTTGAACTCAGGAGTTTGAGACCAACCTGGACAACAGAGTGAGACCCCCATCTCTACAAAAAATGTAAAAATCAGCTGGGTGTGATGGCACACCCTTGTAGTCATAGCTAACTCAGGAAGCTGAGGTGGGAGGATTACTTGAGCCTGAGCAGTTGAGGCTGCTGTGAGCCATCACTCCATCACTGTACTCTAGCCTAGGCAACAGGCAACAGAGTGAGACCCTGTCTGAAAAACAAAACAAAACTCTTTCCATCACCATCTCCTTTTTACAACTGCTTCTCCCAGATAGCAGTTACTTACTAGTGCCTGGCCAAATCCATTCCATCCTGCTCATCAGTCAGGCCACCTGGTTAAGTGCAGAGCCCTCAAGTGCAAGAACTCCAGCAGATAAATACCTTCTAAAGGGGAAAGCTTCCTAGGATAGCTTCAGTTTTCAAGGGGATGATACCCCAGTCCCAGAAAATTTCCCTTCAATCAAAATGGTTCTGCTGACCACAAATGCAAATTGATCTCTTAATATACCTTATACTTAGTATCTTGGTAAAGGTGACTGCACAATTCCCCCATCAGTGGTGAAATCTGCTTCCAAAGGAGGCAAGCGTGCCAACTGGCAGCCCTATGGGAATTTGCACCAATCTTATGAACAACCTGGAAACTGGTTCGTGAAAGCAGCACCAGGCAGAAGCCAAAAATAGAGGTGGCATCACCACAAAGTCAGCATTCAACCCCGCAACCTCACTGAACACACTCCCTGAATGCATCACCCAAGAAAATGTTCCAGTTGTTAAAAAAAAAAGA